TCCCACCCGACTTGAGGAGGGACGGTCTGTTGCCCCCACCTGTTCGAGGGAAGGCCATCGGCGAGTGCTTCACACTCCTTGGCGACGTGAGACGTGAGACGTTGAGCCACGAGGTGTTGAGCCACGATGAAGTGTGGTTTCTTCAGCCTTTTAGCTGTTTTGGCAGCCGTTTCTCGTGTCATGAGATGTGATGCATTTGGATCTGAATCCATTTGGGGTATTGTATAGCCAATTCAATCACCAAGGCCAAGGACCCTAGATTGTTTTGAACATAATTACCTTCAAATGCGTTTCGAAGGTCTTGGACCCTTGCGTAGATCCTTCTGCGAAGAGAGGCCTTTCCTCCATTCTGCGAGAGCCACTTCCAGGGAATCCCCGGCTTCATAGGCGAAGTCTTCCTCTACCACTAGGGAAGTCCACTTACAACTGGGTGTCTTCCAAATAGCAACTGGGTGTCCAAAAAACAGAGTGAAATGATCACATAATCAACAGCTAAATAGTCAAACTTCCAAGACCAGTGGAGCCGCGGTTTTCTTTTTTTTCAGCGAATTGTGTTTGTCTGCCATCAGCAAATTGGCACCTGGCATCCAGAATCCACCAAACATGGCGGTTGCAAATGTCAATTGAAGATTGTTGAAGCCAGAAACTATCTAAATTAAAGGAATGAGGACAAATACAGCCAGGGTCTTTTTAATACCTGCCACTGCTTGATCACGGGTGATCACCCCAAGCGATCTACTTCTGACGGAAGGCCAAAGCAACTTCGACTCCTTCCTTGCATAACTGATCCAAGAGCTTCTTCCGACGAGCTTCTCCAGCCTTTTGCATCTCAGAACTGCTCTTCTCCGCAGCCCTCGCCTGTTTCCATCCACAACTGTAAGTCTGAGGGTCAGGAACCCCAGAAACCCACCTGAGCAAATGCCACCCCCACAGTAAGCCAACAACAGAAAGCTGGGCCAACCACGGAATGCAATTTCTTTTTCAACATTTCATTTGTCATATCCTGCAAAGAATTTGATTGAAAGATCGCCAAGCAGAACAACACATCCACACAATGGCAAAGACTTTCTAATTTTTATTTTCTGAACCGTCTTGAGTCATTGAGCGCAAACAGAACCAAGTCCTTTGGGGAATGGTCGAGCTTTGACTTCTTCGCAAACTTGTTGCTCTTTGCTTTTGCCTTGGCTTTTCCTGCTGCCTTTGGTTGTCCATGTTGCTTTTCTTTGGTCTTCTTTGTGTGTGCATTTACCCTGGGTGTTGTCAGCGCCAGCTTTGTAATCTGCTCTTTGTCCTGAAGGCAAAATTAAGAGCAGCCCACATTATGACACAACGCAAGAAGGAAAAAATAAGCAAATGGGCAACTTGAGGAAAACAATGCAGCCTCGGCTGCTGTCTTTGTTGTGATTTTTCCTTCTGGTGCAGGATTTGCAACGGCAGACTTTGGAGTATCATGCTTTGGTTCGGGTGCAGCCGGCAAGGTCTCATTCTTGGGCGCCGGTGTGCATGCATCCTTTGCATCCTCAGAGTTCTTCCTTCCTTTTTTCGCTTTTGCTTTCACAGCAGTCGTCTTTTTCGCACCTGTCTTGGCCTGACAACAACATAGGAAGCAAGACCAGGAAAACGTGAGGCAGCAATACTTCTTCTAAAATCAAGACCTAAGAATGCAAGAGCCTTCTCATCAGCAGCCGGACGTTTTTTTGGAGTCTTAGTAGTGTCTTCTCCTGTTGCACCAGTTCCTTCATCTTCGTCATCAGATTTGGATTTCTTGTTCTTTGAAACCTCCTTTTCCGAATCTTTTGTCTCGCCCTTGCTTTTGCGTGGTCTGCCTTTAGCTTTGGGCTCTGCCTTCTTTTTCTTTTCATTGTCTTCATCTTTTTCGGAGGACGACCCTGATGCATTGAACTTTGGTGGCAAACCTCAGCATAACAAAACAAATGTTGGGAAAATGGTGGTCACCCCAAAGCTCCATAGGAAACATGTGACCATCTCATCCCGCCTGCTGTTGAACTTGTTGGAGGGCCGCCAGCACTAGAGCTTCCCTTTGGGGCTGCACTTGCTTTTGTACTTGGGGATGCGCTTGCTTTTGTACTTGGGTTTGCGCTTGCTTGTGCTCGCGGTGCGCGCGCAGGTTGAGAGACAGTACCCATCAAGTGTTCAAGATCGAAGGCCTTCGTGCCACAGGTCACAGACACAGGCAAACAAAAACAATTTCACCATGATTTAACAACAAAAAACATTTGACCTGAAAGGAAGGAGCAAACAAGGAGAACAACAAGGTATGAAAGGAGCAAACGTGTTGTTTGAGGCTGAGGCAGGGATTGATCTTGCAACCGGGGCCATCCCCACAGCAGGCCGCATACCCGTAAGCTCTGGCTCAGAATCAGAACTATAAGAAGCCATTGCGGCGTCTCAAAATGTCTCAAACCCTTTTTGAGACATCAAATGTCTTCAGAATGCAATTCTTTTGACAGGGTGTTCAATGTCCCAGAGACAAAGCAATGTTTCATTGCAGTCACAACCATCGTAACCTTCCTCTGGTTTTGGCCTGTCGACCCCTGAGCAGTGCCCAAGACTTCGATGACGAGGCACAGGGATTGGTAGCTCTAGTCAGGGCCATGTGCTTCAAAAAAAGGATCAATCTTTCCGGAGATACAGTTTGCTATACATGACTTCGCATGATCGAAAACTATAAACCATGAGACTTGCCAATGATAAATCACACTTGACTTTATTCGCTTTATCTTCATGTGGGCCAAAAAATGTTTGAAGCACACCCCCCGAAGGCTGGCTTTGTAGGGCTCTGTGTGAACCCTTGTGGCATCTCAAAAAGCATGGGAAGGCTTGACCAGGATCTTTAAAGCAAACAGCCATATATGGCCACTGGGTCATCTCATATTTGGCAGGACATAGCCTATTGAATCCATTCCCAAATTGTTCAGCTTCCCCTGCGACCAGTCATGCTTCACATGACTTGCACCACTTGATTTTCAGCGAGCTCAACTTGCCCCTTCAATATACACACAGGTCGCTGCGGAACAAGCTGCGTGCTTCCCCCAGCGGGCTCCAATCTGGCGAAGGGAAGGAAAAATGACACTGATATGATCCAAGCCTAAGTGAATGACATAATAAACTCTAAGAGTCTACTTGAACGATTGGTTGAAATTGACATTTAATAGCAAAGGTCCCCAGTGTCATGGCGCACCTCACACGCCATGCCACCTCAAATGCTTTGCATTGGACCAACTTTTGAAGATCCATCTTTGCTCCGAAAGTGATGGCTGAAAGCTTTGGGTCTTTGACAGCCTTCTTCTTTCGCTTTTTGGTCGGGGGTTCACCAGCAGGTGTGTCCAAGACAAAGCACAAGGCTTTGTCAAGCTCGATCGCCCCCCCGGCCAAATCCAATTTGTGGTGAGAGAAGCCAACTTTTACCTCATATCCACCAGCGCTCATGCAACATAATATTGGTATGCGGACTAAAACAAAGGGATCATGTTTGAAGGTTTGTGAAGAGCAACTCGTTCATCCAAGATACTTCCCCCTGGTCTTCCAGGGCCATGAGCAGGTCTTTCAAGGGCACAGGTTGATCAAGACAAGACAACTCGCTGAGATGCGCAGGGATTTTTTTCTTCTCCAGGATAATCATCGATTCAAACCCAACGTGGCATTTCAGCCAACTTCCAGCTGTGTCAGCCATGACTTGAGTTGCATCAGTGCCATCATTCCAAACACCACTCCCGAAACTGAAGAGTTCCCGGCGGTGGGGCAACATAGCTTGCTCTGACCCCGCTTTCAGGTAGGCATCACGCCCGTCTTCAGAAACAATGAGGCTCACCTGGCTGTTCACAGCCAACTCAGACCTGGGAAGCCAGCAGTTGGCTCAAGGTACATCAAGGTTACAGCTGATTGCCAATGGTTGGAAACCAGCAAGCTGGCGGCCAAGCTTTGCTTGGATGCCAGCGAGCTGGCTGCCAAGGATTGCTTGGATGCCAGCAGTTGGTTGCCAACGTTTGGCTTCAGCAGTGGTTGGTTAGACTGTTGGTTAGATGCAGCAATCAAATGAAACACATTGGAACCACAAACGCGCATAAACACAATGTGGCTGCAAGTAAGAAGGTCACGGATTGGGAATGGAAGCCATCTTGGCGGGCGTTAGCTCCTGCCCGTCTTCAGGTTCGACCAGCTCGACTTTGGCAGCTGCAACATCCCTCTTTGACGGGGAAGGCTTCTCACTCACCCGCAGATTCTCAGAATTGTACTTCTCGTTGTGCTCTTCAACCAATTGAGTAAACTCCAGGCAAGTTTCTGATTCCTCTTTGCCAAACTGTTGAAAGAATTGCTCTTGCACAATGAGGTTCCCGGATGGGTGTAGGGTGGTTACCTTGAAGGCCTCCCCAAGGCCAGGTGCACCATCCCCAGTGCCAGCTGTGTCTGAGAGCTCAGCCACCAATGGGGCAAAGTCTGGGAAGCCAGAAACCGAAAAGCTCTTGAGTCTGCACTTTTCATACAACGATGTAGCAATGCGATCCAAAATGATTTCCCCCGGCAATGCCCTACGTTTCTTCGTTGACGCAGACTCAATGACCACCGTTGCGCAAACAACTTTGGGAGATTCGACCTATCCAGCAAGGAAAGCCACACCCAAATCTACGATATCAAACATTAAACAACAAATGAATCAACATTATGACAATATCAATTTGCAAACTAATATTAACATGGGGACATGAAATGGCAATGATAACAAGGAGAGGCCTCCAAAGTACTCAAAGCAGGAAATGCATCGTAGCCATGTCCATCCACAAGGGCCAAACGCTGCACAGAGGTGTTTTGCGTCAGGCCAGCAATCAAACGCTTCAAGACATCGGTTCCACCACAAGCCTGGTGTGAAAAACACAATTACGATATCCAAACACTACATCATGATTGATGTCAAAGAATCATTGATGTACTTAAAAAACAATTAATAGCCCAATACTGTTTGAGAACGGTTCAATCAAGAATCAAATCCAAGAAACTTGTTTGGCTTCTTGGCAGTCAGTGAAGGCCGCGTTCATTTTGACTTCAATCGTTTCTTGACAAGGTGGCTTGTACATTTCTGCTCTTGCCAACATGGCCACATCACCAATGACCCCTCGCTTCCACAGAGGTGATTTCCAAAACACATTCCCGCCAGGTGAGGCATGTTTGGCCTCAAGGCACAGAAGCCCGATGAGGCATGTTGGTAACAAATCCAATTGCAGCAAACTGGATACCAACTGCTGGATGCCAGCAAGCTGGCATCCAACTGTTGGCTGCCAGTTCACTGGTTGGTTAGTTCAGAGGGAAAGCGTACCCATGTCAGGCTACATCTTTATTTGACCTTCGAGCAAGGCTGTTATCCGAATGGGGGGAAACAAGGAGAACACCATTGATGCAACAGAACCAATGGGTCCAATGTAATTGTTTGAAGCTAAGTAACTGTGATCATCATTCCCTTCATGAAGGCAGCACGGTTTCCATACACAGTACTGGGATCAAAGCAAATCATCAAATCCTTCACCAAGAGATTGCGCGATGGTTGCCGAAGCTCAGCTTCAAAGTTGTACTGGAAATCACTGAGAGCATTTGTTGTTGGCAGTGTTCCCAAGCCCATGTCATCACCATCCTCAGCATCGCCCATGTCATTGTCTTCATCTTTTGCCTCATCGTCCTCATCTTCGTCCTTTTCATCTTTCTTGTTTTTCCTGCGATTCAACAAACTTGCCAAACACAAATCATGAACATTGTCGAGACGCCTTAGTCTGACTTTGCTAATCACCATGTACAATGTACACCATTATCAAAACTCAAACACATACCACATACAAAACATATAGCGTGAGGCTCTGACCCACTTTTGGTATCTGTAGCACGGTTGGCATGGACAATCACTGCAATACTGTTCCCAGCAGTTGTAGTCAAAAAGCCAGTCACCAATGAAATCAGAAAGTTCTTCTTCATGGCTGAAAGAATGCCGGCTGTGGTCAAATTGATCCAGACTACAACACCTTCTTCTTGGCAACTTCTAACGTATGTAAGTTCTTCAAAGCACTGCTCGATCCATGGCAGAACAGTGGGCAGTAGTGTTTGCTCAGGTTTGATGGTCCAAACTTTTAGACAACGCTGCACATAGGCGTTGACAACTTCCCAGGATTGCTTGTGCCTTAGCTGAAAGTTGTGATGACACACAGCTGGATCAGAGTAACAAGTGAGCCTAACATAAGCTTTTGCGAGGCACATGCATTTTCCAAATCATGTTTAAGCACTTGATTCGCAATGCATCTTCAGTGTGCACCTGTGACACTCTATTTTTTCTGAGCCTAGTGTCATCTCCTCCAGTTTGGCAAGTACCTCCCGACGCTTCACAGCTTGCTCTTTCGAGGTCCTGCCCAAAACATTTAATGGGCTGGGGCGATGGCCAAGCACACTGGCTTCCAGCAAGCTGGATGCTCAGTGAAGTGGCTGCCACTGAC